GCATTGCTACCACACAGCACTGGGGCCCTGGGTACAATTAATGGGATGTGATCTGCAAGAACCATGTTCTCCTCATGTTTGTGTTGGTTTCCATAGGTGCTCCAATTTTCTCCCACAGTTCAAAGACTTACTAGTAAGTTAATTCAATTTTAGGAAAATTGGCCCTGGTGTGAGTGTATGAGTGTTTGTTTCTGGTTGTGCCCAGGATGGTCATCCTGTCCGGGGTGTATCCTCCCTTATGCCATTGTTTGCTGGTATAAGCTCTGCCTCCCCCACGACCCAGTATTGGATGAAGAGTTTAAAAATTTAAGGATGTCTGATTAATGCATGATGATAGAAAGTAAATAAATACAAAAGCTTCTGTTTTTTTTGTCTCTGAAATTTTAGTATTTGTGTCATTAAGTGTCAGACACATAGACCACAGGTCTCAACTGAATTTGAGGTGAAATGTTACAGAAATTATTATGTTGTAGAACTAATCTGTCCTTAGAATCAAATAATTTAATTTTAAATGGCTGATTGGCAGTCACTGATGAAATGCACAAATTTAAAAGAAACAGAATGTCCATTTCTGTCTGCTTTTTGCAATTTCTACCATCATCAGAGTTCAAAAGGCATGAGACTGCAAAATGTTTTACTGCTGATTGATTGGGGGTAGTAGCAATTTTACACATAACCTCGAAAACCAAACCTTTATTACTGAGATAGATTCACACCTTTGGTAACCATGCTATAAAATAATCACAGCATAAAGCGTGTGTAGTGTGCATATGTATGAGCTTTGTAGCCATGGAAACGCTGGTGTGCCTTGTAGTCTGAAACATAAAAAAGTTGTCAATGAATGTCATGCACTGTAGTTGTGAATAACCAAAATATTCCAACATTAATGTCCATTGGATACAATTTGCTCCTCAGAAATTGTGGCATATATTGTAAAATTGTCTGTTTATCAGGATGGCTAAGATTTGGTATCTACTGTAGTTTCATTTTAGTATCATAGTATCATTTTCTTGTTGACTTTGATACATTATTTCTTCCTCTTTGGAAGAGGAAGAGCATTGTGCTGCTGATTCTGCAGTCAGGTGTGTGGAAAAGAGTGCTGTACATTGCAGTTACATCCAAACAAATTATTTCAACAGTCTTTATATAAATATAATTTTCAGTGCCATTTTACTCTTGGGGTCACATTTAGAATTGCTAGTCATAAAGAAGGATTTACCTTTATCTCATAAACCCGAAAAACTTACTTATTCTTAAAGTTGTGTATTTCTAAATCCAAAATATCTTTAAAAATATATAAAATGCAGCCTATTGAATTGTACATGAAGAAAATAAATAATTGATGAGATGAATGAAAATGTTAGTTTTAGACATTTTCTTTTAAAGAGATAGATAAGACTTTATTGATCCCCAAGGGAAATTGAGGTGTTACAGCAGCCCAGCCCAAGACAAGCAAAAACAGACATCAGAATAGACTAAAAATTATAAGTACAGCAATACAAAATACAATAAATAGAGTTAGGTGTGTGCAAAATATGCTAATAGTCACTGTAAAACAATAAAATATGTGCAAAATACGCCTACAGTAGGTACAGGTGTATACAGATTGAATACAGTATATACAGTATATTAATGCAGTGTCCAAAAAGTACATTAGTGCAACATGCTGCCCATAGACGAGCAGATGAAGGGCTAACAGTCCTAGCCTGGGGCAGTGTTATACATCCTGACAGCCGCCAGGAGAAAAGACCTGCGGAAATGTTCCCTTGAACACCGCAGCTGGAGCAGTCTGTTGCTAAAAGTGCTCCGCTGTCTAATAACAGTCCCATGTAGTGGATGAGAGGCGTTGTTCATGATGGCTGTGAGCTTGGTCAGCAGTCTTCTCTCCGCCACCACCTCCAGGGGGGTCAAGGCTCAGCCCCAACACAGAGCCAGCCTTCTTGATGAGTTTATTGAGTCTATTTACATCTCTTGCCATGAAGCTGCTGCCCCAGCACACAAGATGGCCGCTCCCACCACTGATTCCTAAAAAATGTGCAGCAGTGTTCCACATACACCTCCTAAGAGCATCCTAAGAAAATATCTGTCTGCTCTGACCTTCCTTGTACAGGACGTCAGTGTTAACAGTCCACTCCAGCTTATCATCCAGGTATACTCCTAAGTACTTGTAGGACTGCACCACCTCCATGTTCTCACCCTGGATGGAAACAGGGTTCAGCAGAGACTTCCTCTGAAAGTCCTCTGAAAGTCCATGACCATTTCTTTAGTCTTGCTGATGTTTAGCTGGAGATGGTTAAGATGACAGCACTCCACAAAGCTGGTAATCAAGCTCCTATATTCCTCCTCCCTCCACCCTCCCCCATTAATACACCCCACAATTGCAGAGTCATCCGAAAACTTCTGCAGATGGCACGCCTCAGAGTTGAAGTGAAGAGGAATGGAGCAAGGACAGACAGCAAGAGTCCTTTGTTAATGATTTTTAAAGGGCCTTATCTGCAAAATTTCAGGGGTAGAGGCAATCTGGAGCGATCTAGCTTTACCCTTTAGCAACTTCTGTTGGCAAATATATGAAGCACAAATGGAAATTAATATGATTATTTTAGTGGGATCACCCTGAGTTTCTTTCATTGTTTAATCTTGCACCAGTCATGGTGCCAGTGTGGTAATTACTTTCCTTTATCACTTTGTATGTAAGGTTCATTCGGGGCTTATTCGCTGCAGAGAATCATTAAAGACTCACTTTGTCCTTCTTATCTTATTTTAGTTGCAGAATGTTCTTAGCTCTGAGGTACAAACACATCATTACAATATTTCTTTCACTTAAAAAACATTTGATTCTCCTACATACAGAAATATAGCATGTTATTTTTTTATTTTGAATATAATATTTAATTCTAATTGATGTGCTGATTTCTGTAAGTCAGTAATCAAATATGTATATATACTGTATCATTCACTACATTATACAGTACAAATCTACAGTATTCACAGCTACTTATTGTCAACTCCAATGTTTTATTTAATCACTAGTAATGTGTTTAAATTTTGGTTTCTTAGCAAGGCAGACTGTAGTTGATGTAGAAATTGTCAGGCATTGTTAAGCTGATTTAAAATGGAAAAGTAGTATGTAATTATTCTGCTACTTTCTTTAGTAGACTGCCAATTTAAATTAATACTATTAAGCTGCCATCACTTGGTCACAAAAACAGGCACACCCTTTCATTAGTCCATCTTCACAGTCTGTTAACCTAAAACCTTTGAAATACTCCTCACGAGGACTGTTTCAAATAATTAAGAAAGAAGTTCGCAGGTGAAAATCTCAGTAACTGTAAGGTATTTGTGAATTTGAATAAGCAATGTAAGAACAATGTAAGAGCAATGTAATAAATGTATATACAGATGTTTTTTGGCAATTCTTAATATTGTTTATAGATCAAGTTAGTTTCCCCTGACAATTACAAAGTCTGTTGTTCTTTCTTGATAGTTCTGGTGGTTGATTAATAGTAATATTCTTTTGTTTTGTCAAACATTTAGCTGCATAACAACAACACATATCATAACAAACCACTTACCCAGCAAAAGTAATAGATTACTTTTTTTGGTGGTATCTGTTTATTGATAGTGCACCACAAAAGTACACTACAGCCACTTGATATTGTAGCACAGGCTCCACAATGTGGCTGCAGTGTGCAAGTACTTTATGATCATCTATGGAAAAACACATTTGCCCTCTTATATTAACAATACAAATTAAGGAACATGTATTGTAATTAGTTTCAAAACAGGGTTCTTAAACTGAATTTCAGAAGTACAACTATGTAGCGGTTAAAATTTAAACAAACTGCACTGCAAAGTCATATATAAGGACAAAGAATTTTTTTTTTACAGATTACCTCTACAAATGAATTAATGAATGGGTAGGCAGTCATTGACACATCCGCTAATTATTATTGAAGTGTGTTTTCAAAGCCCAAGATACATGAAAAAAATGTTTTTGTTGTTTGAGAAATAGAAAGGATTAAAGTTGACCAAAGGAGGTAAAATTAAAACTATGTTGTAGTATTGCTTCTTTTTTTTAAGAATCACTGCACATCAAGATCACTCATGAAGAAGCAATAAAACTTAAATAAATAAATCCTGACCAAGGAAAACCAGGAAGATAATATGCAACAACCCAAAACATATGGCCATTAGAATCTGTTCAGATATTTTTCTGTAATATTTTTCTTCTCTCAGTCAAGTTTAGCATTTCAAAAGGAAAGGATACCATTTAGATGAAGTGCCAACCTGTCGCTTATTTTCATAGCCAATAGTTTAGAGTGCATAAATAACAGGGACAGGCTTTAAAAGAGATCTTAACAACTCAAGTGTGCAGTGAAAAAAAAAACTGTTAAAACAAGCTGTTTTATTTTGGTAAGACTTTGCCACAGCGATATGCTTAAAAAAGGTTTGGAGGTTTTGTGAAGTAGAAAACTATAGTACAGTTAACTATACCATATATAATATAGTTATATAACAACAACAGGATACCATCATCCATTTTTTAACCTCTTCATCCAACTTGGGGTTACAGGGGAGCCAGAACCTGGCAAGCACAGGCACAAGGCATGGTATAACCGGGACAAAATGGCAGTCCATCACAGGGTAGTCACACAGACACAGACATGCACTTACACCAGGGCCAATTTTCCCAGAAGCAAATTAACCTACTGTATCTGTGTGTCTTTGGACTGTGGGAGGAAACTGGAGTAAATCCACAGGAACATGGGGAAAACACAAAAAGTTCACATAGCTTCCCAGGAATTGAAACTGGGTCCCCACGACTGCAAGGCAGCAACGTTACCCATTGTACCACCATGATACCCAACTAGACTAAGCATGACTATACTAGCATTGTTAAAATTACAAATAACAAATGCTATTATTCTTACCATCATCACACTGTTGAAATAATTATTCAACTTGGACAATAAATTGCAATATTTATTTTTCTCTTATAGAAATGTTTGAAGTTCAATGCAGAAGCCCCAGTCTGGTCCTCTAAGCAGCGGATATTATGTACTCTGAATCAGAGTCTGAAAGATGTGCTGAATTATGGACTCTTCCAGCCAGCATACAATGGAAAAGCAGGAAAATTTTTGGATGAAGAACGACTTTTAAAGGAATACCCACTGCCCTCCATCACCCCTGTTCCTTACCTTGAGGTAGGTAACCTTCTATTCTTGTTGGACTCATCTTGAAACCGTTTCTCAAGAATGGTTTCTTAACTTATTGATGCAGTACATTAGGTGTGGCCATTTTGGACATTTGAACTATCAAAGCTACTTCTCTTTTATGTCATGTGAGTTAACTGATGCATTGAAAAAACACCATGCTGACTGACTAGTCCCTTGTGTGAACATGCTCATTGCTCAGTGCCATCTGCTTGCAATTGAAATAGTCCCTTTAAAATGTTAATTTGTGATGAGTCTTGCCGGTAATTTCTTCATTAGTTCTTTATTGATCTTTCTTGTGAATATAAAGAAAACTTGGGCCTTTCTCTTCAATTCATGAAATAGTGCATAGCTTGGCAATTAAATATTTTTTTTGCATACACAAAGATAAAATTAAATCAGATGAATAAACTGATCAAATAAACACAAAATACAGTTTATTATACTCTGTTCCCAGGGTATGAAATGTTTGTAAACCTGCCATGACAATAGTAGCTCTGTAGTTCTCAGTCACAGCTTTTTGTCTGAAAAATACAAGTGCAGGAAAGTATGGAGCTATTGAAGGTCATTAGATGGTTTAATGAAGTTGATTAAGTGCAGCAGTTTTCCATTATTCTTAAGGGCCTGTGTATAAATGAGCATGGCAAACACAAATCCAGTTCTTCTGTTGGAGACCTGGACTGCTATTGTGGAAGCAAGAAAAAGGTGAAAAAGAATTGTAAAAACTCTTTTGCAGCTAAATGTTGCCTTGAGCAGTCAGTGAATTCATTAGGTTATATAGGATTATATAAGAAAACATAATAATAAGCATACTAGGTAAATCAAAAGATGTTAATTCAGATATTATAAATAGCTTTTTCTCAATTATGCAAAGCAAGCCATTTTGGTAAATCTGATAATATTGTACGAACATCTCTCTCAGAGATTGATCTCATAATTGCTAATCATAATCTCCACAACAGGCTTGTGAAAGTAACCTATTCTTTGAAGCCAAAGGGGCTATCATAAGGTTAAACCATAACATGGCTGTAGATAATTGTTCAATTTCATGACATGCATAATGGTCCAGATACTGGTACATTAATCAAATGTTTAGAAGTAGTGTTTCACAGTAGTCCTTCAGCAGACAATATATTTAATATAAACATGTTTATCTACTGACAAAAGACTTTTGTTTTTATCTAGATGACCCAAGAGGCCTCCTATTGTTTGTAACCTTTTGTTTGTAAGTTCATATCTTTGCACATGATTCAAGTACTGTAGGGTCTTGACATTCTTGAGGGTTCGTTGCAGAGAACCATCGCAAAGAGCCAAATTCATATAAAAAAAGTCCACCCCTATACCATTGCTTAATGTACTACAGTATATAGTACTGTATGTATGGTTAAAAGATATAGGTAACTCCCCCTTATAAGATAATTAAAAGTACTAATGCATTGGATTTAAGTTAATTTACACGAAATAACAGTGTACAACTAAAAGAAACAACAGCAATCATAAACGTATAATAATCAGTTAAAATAAACAATGAGACAAACAAACAACATTTTCTCTGCACTTTCTCTCTGTGTCTCCATAATTAGCACTCTCCACTGTAATGTAAAGAGCAATGAAACTGTCAGTGAGCCCGTAAAGTCATCTGCAGCCTGTCTTTCCCCATGCTGCTGAGTGTTTGTTACAATACAAAACAAGATCTAGCTGAGATGCTAATGCTGAGCAGTGGGTATTTGAGCAGAGAGTAAGGAAAGGCTCACTCACTAGCTAGATTTATCTCACGATCCTAATCTGTTGTGCTGCTAACATTAAAGTTGCGGTTAACAACCTTCAGCTCGATTTCATCCCAATCTGCTCTTCTTTCATCGAAAACCCCATTTCCCAGACTGAATCATGAAAAAGTGAATTTGCATTTTTTTTTATTTTGCAGATGTTAACACCCTACTGCATCACTAAATGATTTCAGAATAGAAATCTTCCAGAGTCTTACTTGGAATGGGGTTTGTGTGGATGCATTTTGAGATGACTAGCCAGATGAAATCATTCATCTGGTTGGAAGGTGCTACAGTAGGTGTCTGTTGTGGGGGCAAACCTCAGGAATTTTTTTCAGGAGCTATAAGAGGCCTCAGTCAAAGCTTGACTGTCAGATGGCCTCAAACATACTGACATACTGTACGCACGATGCATAATGTAAGTAGGGAATAGTGGAACTTTTCTCTGGTTGTTCTGATCAAGGATAGTGAAAACTGACCTCACTGACCTCAAATCAGGAGATCATTGAAAAGGGGGAGAAGCATTTTGGGTAACTCCTCAATCTGGTAATATCACTGCTACTGAGATTATTGTATCTATTAGATATTAGAGGTTTACCTTGAGAAGTTGAAAGGCCTGCACATGTTGGAGTGCCATTGAAGTCTAGTAAAACACTTTTACAGTACTAGACTAAGGATAAAAGTTCTAATTCTTTAGAAAGGGAACCAAGGGGAGTGTTCCAGCTATAGAGCAAATGCACCCTCAGGCCTTTGCCTCTCAGCCAAAGTGCTGGAGAGGATATATTCTTTTGTTGGACCTAGAAGGAGCAATTCATCCTCTGCCCCATTCGTGCCCCATTCGTGGCCTATGCTCTTTTGCAGATATTTAAGGAGTTGTAAGACTTCACCAGTAAGACTTCACCTTTTCAGTTTGGAGACCTGGGAAGGCATACTGTATCAGAGTGATCCTTGAGATGTCTGATGATAGTTGCTAATGGAGTATGAGGTGACAAAGTCATTTCTGTGTGCTTCTTGGTCCCTTTAAGCTCAGAATGAGAGCTGGGCCTCTTTCCTTGGTATTAAGACATGTTGGTTAAAGATAACTGTATGACTTCTTCAAGGGTGCATCTTATCTTCTTTTTTTTCTTATCTTCAGAAATTTTTCTGAACAGGATTTAAAGGTACAGTCTAGGTATGGAGCATATCTGGCTTTGGGGGAAAAGCTTTATTTAGTTTTGTTTGAATTCTGCACAGCAAAGTCCATTGGGAAGCTCAACACAGTGGAATTGTTGAATTGTAATCTGTTTTTCGATCAAGCCTTTTCATTTTATTTAGTGATTTTTTATTTTTTTATTTTATCCAGATCAATGCCATTCTTGCATTTTGACTTCTTGCTTTCCATTGGGTCAATGGATATTTTTTTTTTTTACACATCCACCATCATGTGTTCTCAAGGCCAAAAATGTACAATGCATTGATTGATTTACTGACCCTACCCCATTGTACAATTGTAAAAGAATTCCATTTTCTTTCAAGCAAGTTTCAGTTTATACAGTATGCACACTAACTTGCAAAGGGTACAATGTAAAAGAAGGAAAGAAAGATATAATCCATGGTGTCTGCACATTTGTATTGTCATTTACTTGCTCAAGGTAGTTCTGAAGGTACAGTAGATTCTGAAAATTTTCTCGAGGTCAAAGGGTACCTACTGTCATGTTAACACAGATACAAGTGATAATTATTTCTAACCTTTTCATTTCATTTTTTTAAAAACAAAGTCACGAAAATTAGATTCACTTCTATGAATACATAGCTGATGTTATAGTGAAAGAAAAACACTGTATAATAAAGCACAGTAATGTGGATATTTGTATTACTCTTTAGCTTCAGCATTCATTAGTGTTTATTTTCTTCTTTCGCTTTATTTGCTGATACAACAATGAAGATGTTTTGATGTAAGAACATGCTTCTCCCCTAAGTAGATTAAACCAAGTGGTAGAATATTTTATTAGCTATATGTCAATCATAGGCTATAGACTGGCATCCAATATTTTTGAGGGACTGAATATAGTCCATTATCTATAGTTATGGTAATGTGGCTAGATTATTACATTATTTTTAAGTTCTATTTATTACAAATTCTGGCCAGATGTCTGCTCTTACAATTATTGATTTAAAATGTTAATCATATTGTATAAATCAGTTTAATTAATGACCATCAATATTTAATACATTTTTTAAAAGGCTAATAATAAACTTTCTACACTTTTCTAATGAAGGTGTACTGTGAGGACTATTTAGAACTTATTCAAGTAATTTCTTTTTGAGGAGAAGCACTATGTAAAACTATTCCTGAAGATATGAAACTAGAGATCCAGACATTCAGAATTCACTCTGAATAATGCAGCATAATGCACCTAACATAATGCATTTCAGTACATCTTTTTAAATAATCAAATGCCAGACTGCACTACTTTCTAAATCCACCAGAAAGTGCAGTGAATGCTTATGTGGTGTGTGCAAGTATATGGGCTATCATGTGAAACGCCTAGGATCAAATCCTGTTTAATGCTCAGCCCCTTAGGGACAATCCTTTTCCAATTATAGAATTTAATTTATATGCTGTTTTGACTTTTATTAATGTTATTCTGTATACTACAGTAAGTTAAATATTTAAATAATATTAAAAAGGAAAGTAGGGCTGTTGCAAAATTATTCAGCCATACAGTATATACAGTATATATAAATTATTATTTTAGCTTGTTGTGATCATGATGTGCTTTTTTTTAGGTTTACATCCACATTAAAATAATCTATATTTGCTTTTATGTTAATTTCAGCAACAATTAATTAGGAAATATTGTTCCTTTAGATTTTGATTATAAAAATACAGTATATTTCACACATACTGTACTGCAGTAGCTTTAAAACCATATGGTATCACACTACAGTTCATTGACCTGTACACTACTGTTTTGGCATATTTGTGGAAGTGACTTAATGCAATTTGCATGTGTCATGTCGGGAATTCTTCTTGTATTCAATTCACCTGGCCAAAGTTTTAAAACCACATTACAAACTGTTACATCACATCCCCACTGATAATTGTGAATGCAAATACGCTGAACTCTGTAACACTACACCCTTTTGGCTGGATATAACAGTCTGTCCTCTGGATGGGGGTTAGGGCAGATGTTGTCTTCCTTCCTCAATTTAGACATCTGAAATGTCTCCAGTACTGCTATG